GGGAGGTGGGTGCGTAAACACCTGGGATAGAGATTGGTGGTTAATAGGGAAGGTTACATATAGCTTTATTAGAGACTGATAAACAATGCTCCAAAGTTGTGCAATTTTACACTCTCACCACCCACACCCGGGGTTCTAGCTATTCTATACCCTTGCCAACATTCAGGGTGCCAATCATTGTCATTGCAGTCCCTTTAGTGGGTGTGAAGTGGTGTCTCCTGGTTTGAGTCTGTACTTCCCTAATGACTAATGAGCTTGTGCAACTTCTCATGGGCTTATTTGCCATCTTTATATCTTCCCTTGCTAAAATGTCTGTTTATTAATTTTAGGGTTTTTTTTTACTAATTATATATATGTTCTAGAAAAAAGTCAGATGTATGTATTATTAATATTTTGAAGTATTTGTTCAGCATTAGAAATGCTGGCTATATGATCTTTTTCTTTCTTTTTTTAAAATAAAATGTCACTTTATTGCCCTCGGTAGAGTGCTGTGGTGTCACAGCTCACAGCAACCTCCAACTCCTGGGCTTAGGTGATTCTCTTGCCTCAGCCTCCTAAGTAGCTGGGACTACAGGTGCCTGCCACAATGCCCCCAATATTTTTTTGTTACAGTTTGGTGGGAGCCAGGTTTGAACCTGCCACCCTTGGTATATGGGGCTGGTGCCCCACCCACTGAGTGATGGCACTGCCCATGATCTTTTTCTTTTTTTTGAGACAGAGTCTCATTTTGTCACCCTCAGTAAAGTGCCATGGTATCACAGTTCACTGCAACCTCAAACTCTTAGGCTCAAATGATACTCCTGCCTCAGCCTCCCAAGTAGCTGAGACTATGGGTGCCCACCACAAATGCCTGGCCAGTTTTAGAGATGGGGGTCTTGCTCTTATTCAGGCCGGTCTTGAACTTGTGAGCTCAAGAAATCCACCTGCCTTGGCCTCCCAGAGGGCCCGGCCTTCTGGCTATATGATTTGAGAAAAAAAAAAAAAGGAATAAAATACGTAGTTGTGTTGAAAGGTCTTAAATAAATTAAAATGTCATTATTTTGAATGACTAGAATATATATCTAGAAAAATAATTCTAGGAAATCCAGGATATACACCTAGAAAAATAACCACAAGAAACCAATTAAAGTATATAGTAGTACATTAATTACATGTAAGTTTACAAAATTCTGTTATATCACTACATACCAATAACACTTAGTTCTAAATAAAAATAATTATGCTCACAGATAAAACCAAAATCATTAAAAACTTTATTTATCCAAAGGAAATGATTTAAGAACCTTGAGGGAAATAAAAGGAGACAGGAGTACATGGAACACTAATTAGTGTAAGCACTAATAGCAGTGCTCCTGCTATTTAGTGCTATTTAATTTACAGAGTTAAGTTTTCAATAATCAAAATTGCTGAAGGAGGG